GGTTTTTAACAAGAAGTCAAAAATATCACTTTTTACCAAAAATGACAAAAATATTCACCAAAATTAGAGAATTGAAGATATCATCACGAAATAAACAAATCTGAGAGAAGTCCACATGTAGTACCTATATATGTAGTATCAAAGCAATTGGACTTGCGGTTTTTAACAAGAAGTCGAAAATATCACTTTTCACCAAAAAATGACAAAAATATTCACCAAAATTAGAGAATTAAAGATATCAACATGAATTGAACAAACCTACGAGAGGTCTACCCAAGGTACATATACACCAAGTATCAAAGCATTTAGGCTTGTAGTTTTCAAGAAGTCGAAAAAGTAAAACATTGACACGGACGACGACGACGGACAATCACTCATATGATAAGCTCCGCTCGACAAAGTCGACAGCGGAGCTAACAAATCTGAGAGAGGTCCACATGTAGTACCTATGTATGTAATATCAAAGTAATTGGACTTGCAATTTTTAACAAGAAGTCGAAAATATCACTTTTTACCAAAAACGACAAAAATATTCACCAAAATTAGAGAATTGAAGATATCAACATGAAACGAACAAACCTAAGAGAGGTCTACCTAAGGTACATATACACCAAGTATCAAAGCATTCAGGCTTGTAGTTTTCAAGAAGAAGTCGAAAAAGTAAAACATTGACACGGACGACGACGACGGACAATCACTCATATGATAAGCTCCGCTCGACAAAGTCGACAGTGGAGCTAAAAAAGTAAAATGGAAAAAAAAAAAAAATAACTAATGTGTTTTAAAATGCATTAATTTAACAAGAAAACAAATTTTACCAACATTTCTTAGCCACGAATATTGCAAAGTTACATTCCCACTTTGAATAACCTGCAGAAAACCTAACATTGAAATCATAAAATCATAAATTTTGTAAAGTGGATTACAAATATTATCAAACATGATATCGAATTTAGAAGTGTCTCAGTAAATATAGTTGCCTTAAGTTGCCTTTTCAATCAGATCTGGAAAACAAAATGATGTGTATTTCGATCTTGAAATGTCCAATTGTAATCCATCCATACACTACCAAAATCAGGTTCCAGGAAATGCGCATTTTTGGTGATTTTTATCATTAAAATGGCCGCCATACAGCCATCTTGAATTTGACAGTTCCTTCATTGTAAATGTGACACTTCAACTCATTTCACAGTTTCATTTTCCTAAAGGGATGGTGTATTTCCTCTAAAATTATCATTCCCACAATGTTTTAAGTGGGCCACGTCATTGATTAATCTTTTCAGCGAAAATAAATTCCAAGTGAAAATCAAGAACTTTACAGTGTTTGGTCTATTATCAAGGCAGACATTTTCACTGCCTGGCAACCATCACGGTGAAAACTCTCAGAAAACTACTTTGGGACAGTTGTTCCCTGAACAGTGTAATAACATTACCCCTACACATATGCAACATGTATAAATTTGGTTATCCAGGATTACTTCAAAGTTGAGTTTGTGCGGTTTTCTCAACGTTAGCTATTTTCATCGACCAGCGTTCCACAGCAAGCTCGTGCAGAGCCCATAGAAATACATGGTACAGTGGTGCGTGTCTTAGCAACGTGGAACGTTCTGTGACGTAGTTGTATCATCTGTATCAGTGTGTTAAGCTCACTGTACACAAAGCTTGACAATGGTTCGAGATGATATAATATTATAGCATGTCAACTGGACTTGTAGAGTAATGAGAAATACTACACAAGTAATCCTGCATCAACATGCATGGTTACCTTGGCAACAGATGGATCCTGAAAAGGCGATTTTTCAATCTCATTAACCCAACGTGTCTTATTACTGATATTTTTCTTACCCCCACTTACATACATGCAAGGGCATTTTTGTCTTACATCAACGTGTAAGCTGGATAATTTTTTTTATTGTCACGAGGTGCATTATATAATGTGTTGTAATGTCCATTAACCGAATGCCACAAGTACCAATTGTCTCTACGAATAAGTGATTTCCGGTGACAACCGTTTAATCACGTACTCAGCATAGCACGTCTGTAAAAGATTGGCCCAAATTTTACCTGGGCTTTCACTGAGACAGCCACAGTGACTAATACTGTGAAATAATTCATGTTGCTGAACAATTCACGTAATTCAATCGTGAAATGGCTTAAATGAAATTGGCATTTGGTGAAGGGTTAGGGGAAGGTCCAATGAAAATCAGTGTGCCTTCTGAACCAATATGATACGCCATTGATGTACAAATATTAGTGGAACGGAACAGAACTAGTAGTGATAATTTACTGACATGTCATTGACACAACAGAAAATCATATATCGATTGAACGATCTTGAAAAACATTGAATTTGAAATTTAAGTAAAACAAAATTGACATTTCAAAAATAAATATTAATATAAAAGAAATCAGGCGCCACAATATTATTGTTTCTCAAGTTCAGATACAATCACATAACATTTTATTTATGACCCTCCCGAAAATCAGTCCCGTAGAAGGCGCTCCTGCAAAATCAGTCCTGTAGAGGGCGCTTCTACAAAATCAGTCCTGTAGAGGGCGCTTCTACAAAATCAGCCTGTTTTTTAGGCACACTGGTTCAAAATGTTATCGATACTTACTTGTTTGTCTTTTGACGTGGTGAATAATAAGTGATGCCGCATCCTCCAGTATCGCCTTATCATGGAATATATACGACAAATGAGAACCCGCATAATCTCCATTTCCCTCAGCTGACTCTTGTCTCTGAATAAAAGACAACAAGTCATGTTCTTATGTTAGCATAGAGGGTCCTAGAGCTATCTGAATATTGAGTCTCCCTAGGTTGACTACTATTAACACGATTCTGGTTGTCACATTTCACAGTTCAATCAGTAGATAAAGATAGTAATCAATAGTTACAAAGTTTTGACAAACTGAACTACTGTGGAATACTTTATTTTCGCTGGATTTAATTTTCGCTGAAAAGGCTTTTTAGGCATTTTGCTTGGAATTTATTTTCACTGTTTTTTGATGATTTTAATGTGAAATATAGGAAAAAAAATATATTCGCTGGATTTTATTTTCACGGAATTATCCCTTCAGCGAAAATAGCGAAAATTTATTCCAAGCGAAAATAAAGTATTTAATTTCCAGACTATTTAAGGCTCAGATAAGAGTTTTTAACCCTTTTCACCACCACTTGTCTACACTTTTTTTTAAATATTTTTTCAATATTTCTAGAAATGAAGGTGAATTTTGGGGCCAACAGACAAAATTTGAGCCAATTTTCAGCTTTTACTCAAAAAAAATTTGGCAATTTTTGTCTCAATCTTCTGGAGAAAAGTGCAGACTATAAAAAAGACTATTTTGTGAATTTGTGATTGAATAGACACTTTCTTGTACTTCTTACAATAGAGTAGAAAATACTAGTCTTCAAATTTTAGTGTAAAACTGACAGTCCATTAAATTTCACTTACTATAAAATACTTTATTTAAGCTATTTTCACTGAAGAGATGAATAAATTTATCCATTTTCTGATACTTTACATTCATCTCATCAAAAATCAGTGAAAATACACTCCATACAAAACACCCCAATAAGTCATTAGCAAAAATTAATTGCAGTAAATACGGCATTTGACAGTACCCATGTACATTCATGAGGTTAACAGACCATTTTCCGTTCACTGCGAGAATCACGCGTTATGCGTGAAATCGAACGTAAAAACAGGACAAACAAAGGTCATAGCGTCGTAGCCGCGTCAAACATCGCGTGGGATTCGACAAACGCGAAAGTAATTCGGGGACATTTCCATGCTTAATAATGTGCTGTCCACATTTGATGATAGGCAATTTGATTAAGAAAGGGTATTCGGAAGCAATATTCCTCTGTCGAAGATCGGCCGGTCAATGTAAGCTACGAAATAAAGAAATTCTAGTTCAAAATCGAATATTCATTTTTGCGGCAGACGTTCGACGCGCGTCTTTCATGCATCTCGCGAGATCTCGCAATTGTACGGAAAATCACCAATTTAGTTAATATATTGTGAGGAAAACCTACAACTGTCATCCATCGTTTGGAAAATTAACATATTCAAATTAGCATCAGGCTATATTTATCAGCCAATCAAGATCACTGTTACAATAATAGCCAATCAGGTAATAGCTTTCACTCACCTCATCAAAGACAGTTTCTATTTCATTCAATAGACTTTTTGACCTCAATGCTTTAGTGTCTGTCTGTTTAAAATTAATACCTTGATGGTCTAACGATTTCAGATAATATTTTTCATTCTGATCTCGCCAGATTTTGTTGAACCCTCGCTGAGCTTCCCTCCATTCTTCTTCTTTAGCTTTTAACCTACAACACAAAAGTTCATCAATTCAGTTTCAGAAGTTTTCACCTGCCCATGGTAACCACCTTTATATAAAGGACACCTGCCCATGGTAACCACCTTTATATAAAGACCACCAGCCCATGGTAACCATCTTTATATAAAGGCCACCTTCCCATGGTAACAACCTTTATATAAAGCACCGCCCA